TTTATATTGGTGAAACACAATATCAAAACAACATAGATCCTTGCCCTTATATCGAAAAAAACCCAGTTAACTAAATAATGATGAATCTATTTAGCATGCTATGCTGAAAGGACAGAAGCTGACAAAACATGTAAATTGACACAAGTGGATCTCTTTGCAAGGCTGGTCTAGGCAACGATTATCAGGTTCCAGCAACAAAACAGACAAGCGAGCTTGTCACAGCTGTGTCATATACAGATATTTATGATTCCATGTAATGCCATAATAAAACCCATACAACATAATAGTCAGACTGAAGGTCCAATGAATAATAGAATTAACATGTTTCAAATGTTGTACTGTCCTTTCATGACACAGCCTCCAAAACAACCCCTAACCCTTTGCCTACCCTCCTCCAAATTAACCCCAAAACCCTATCCACCTCCAAAACCTTACATTCCTGAATAAATCCAAAAACCCTATCCTCCTCCACAACAACCCCAAATCCCTGTACTCCTCCAAAACAACCTCAAAACCCTACTCTCCTGCTAAACAACCACAAATCCCTCTACTCCTCCAAACAACCTCAAAACCCTACTCTCCTGCTAAACAACCACAAATCCCTCTACTCCTCCAAACAACCACAAAACCCTACTCTCCTGTTAAACAACCACAAATCCCTGTACTCCTCCAAAACAACCTCAAAATCCTACTCTCCTGCAAAACAACACCAAAACCCTGCACTCCTCAAAAACAACACCAAAACACCCCAGAAACCTTGTACCCTTCCAGAACCCCCAAACTAGTTAACTAAATAATGATGAATCTATTTAGCATGCTATGCTGAAAGTGCAGAAGTTGTACCCACTCAAAAAAAACCTTAAATATGACACCCCTTAAATATGACACCCCTCCAAATGGATCCTTAAACCCATCTCACCAAAAAAGAAAACATCCTCACTCTTTGCTAATTTCTACATTCAAGACATTGCAGAGTAGGATAGACAAGGTCCTTATTGTCTTATCCATCACAGATAGTCATTAAAATAAATATCACACAGCTGTAGATCACTGATCATTGCTGATACTCCATAGTTTGTGACAATCTATAAATCAAAGTTGCCTTCGTTTTTCAATGTTGAAATGTCAATGTACTTCAGGGTGTAGAATTACCATGGCTGACTTGCTTGACATTGTACCTTAGACTGCCAGACAGATAGGATACCGGTAATGCATTCCAGTCAATACCTTAATGACCAATTTGGAATTAAAACAAAACTAGTAGGAATTATAGAGTGAGTGAGTGAGTGAGTTGGGTTTAACTCCGCTTTTAACAGTATTACAGTTATATCGCGGCGTGTCAGCTTAATGTGGGAGGAAAGCCCGAAGTGATGCAGGTCTCAGACGTTTACCACTTCGGTGAAACCCACGAGCACGGGTATGGTGCTGACGAACCTAGAAACATAATCGGGGCGAACCGGGATTCAAACCCACAATCATAGGTTTCTGGCGTGCCCAAGAGACGCAACTCTGCACAGCGAATCGCGGCGCCTTTGACGACTGGGCCACCTGTGCCCCCTGAAAGGAAGGAAGCTGACAAAACATGTGAGCCGACATAACTGGATCTGGTCATAATGCTGGTCTAGGCAAGGATTGTCAGAGTAGAGACAGTTTATTGATAACAACATCTTTATTTATTGTAAAGGCGACATTTCGGTATAGATCCTTATACCGTTGACAAGCAAGGCTGAATAATTCTGTACCATGTTCACAATTCAGCCTTGCTTGACAACGGTACAAGGATCTGTACTGAATTGTCGCCTTTACAGTAAATAAAGATGTTGTTATCTATAAATTGTCTCTACTTTGTCATCTGTCAACTTCCAAGTAAGGCTCATCAAACAATTCAAGGATTATCAGGTCTTGTCTATAAAACTTCCCACAAACAGCCTTTAACTCCAAGGAGTAGACCCCATATTTCCCTCCTTGCATGCTGGAAACTATCCTCAGTGTGGTGCTCCCAGTGTCACAGTGTGACAGACATGCCTACCTAAATAGCTGCCACATTATAGCCTCCAGGTGATAGAAATAACACAGAGACCAAACACAAACCCAATAATTTACATGTTTACTGCCACGACAGAGTTATAAATATGTGAGCAAAGTCCCTGTTTCCAAATCTTTGATAAAAAGTGCCATTTAAAAATGTGATATAACATGTTCTTTCCATTTAAAGAAAAATGAGTTTTAGCAAACCTAAATAAGTTATCATGGTTATGTTGTCATATAGCATTAATAGTCTTGAAACTTGCCTCTTCAAATATCAAACATTGTTGTAACTAAAAACAATATTTATAAATCTGTTTCCAAATGTGATGTAACTACTGCATACTCACCTTTGAAAAGTTTCGATTTGTGTAACAATGTTCAACTTAAGTGTGTAATAACTAAATTGTATACACCTTGAAGAAAACCAATCATCGAACCAAATCAGTCTAATTCCCAGCAGTACATGTATTATGTTGGTTGGTTGTTTTACGCCACACTCAGCAATATTCCAGCTATATGACGGCAGTCTGTAAATAATCATGTCTGGACCAGACAATCCAGTTATTGATATCATGAGCATCGATCCATGCAATTGGGATCGATGACATGCTTCAACCAAGCCTGACTACCCGACCCACTGAGTGGCCTCTTACAACAAGCAGTCGCCTTTTACGGCAAGCATGGGTTGCTGAAGACCTATTCTACCCCGGAATAGCATAGACAAGCATGGGTTCCTGAAGACCTATTCTACCCCGGAATAGCATAGACAAGCATGGGTTCTGAAGACCTATTCTACCCAGGAACAGCATAGACAACCATGGGTTGCTGAAGACCTATTCTACCCCAGATCAGCATAGACAACCATGGGTTGCTGAAGACCTATTCTACCCCGGATCAGCATAGACAACCATGGGTTGCTGAAGACCTATTCTACCCCAGATAAGCATAGACAAGCATGGGTTGCTGAAGACCTATTCTACCCCGGAACAGCATAGACAAGCATGGGTTGCTGAAGACCTTTTCTACCCCGGATCAGCATAGACAAGCATGGGTTGCTGAAGACCTATTCTACCCCGTATAAGCATAGACAACCATGGGTTGCTGAAGACCTATTCTACCCCGTATAAGCATAGACAACCATGGGTTGCTGAGACCTATTCTACCCCGGATCAGCATAGACAACCATGGGTTGCTGATGACCTATTCTACCGCAGATCAGCATAAACAACCATGGGTTGCTGAAGACCTATTCTACCCCAGATCAGCATAGACAACCATGGGTTGCTGAAGACCTATTCTACCCCTGATCAGCATAGACAAGCATGGGTTGCTGAAGACCTATTCTACCCCGGAACAGCATAGACAAGCATGGGTTGCTGAAGACCTATTCTACCCCGGAACAGCATAGACAACCATGGGTTGCTGATGACCTATTCTACCCCGGAACAGCATAGACAAGCATGGGTTGCTGAAGACCTATTCTACCCCGGAACAGCATAGACAAGCATGGGTTGCTGAAGACCTATTCTACCCCGGATCTTCACAGGTCAGTACATGTACAATAAAAACAGGAAGACAGTCACCTTAGGTCTCATTTCTAACATGACTGTCAGTTCACCATGACAACATGCAATCCTGATATGTACTTCCTCTCATGATCCCTATAATGCAGTGTCAATTATTTCATGATCAGATTTCAACATCAACAGCATACACTTTATGTCCACAAGGACAAGCCCCATCACCACGTGCACAAGACATGCTCATTTCAGCTCAGCTGAAACTGACAGATATGTATTCTTCCTGTATTCTTCAAGATGTTCTATCTCCAACAAGGGGCTATTTACTTGCTTTCTTAAATGATAGGGGTGTTGAGCTGGCTTAGTGGATAAAATGTTGCCGAAGACCCTGGCTTGGTTCCTCATATGGGTAGAGTGTGAAGCCCATTTCTAATGTCCCCTGCTGTGCTGATATTACTGGAATATTGCCAAAAGCACTTAAACCCTAATAACTCACTCTTAATTGTCAAGATCCGCCCTGTCTTAAGCTACTGAAACATTGGCCACATTGAACAGTTTCTTAATTAAAATCAAGTCATAGTTTCATGAATGAAAAAAATTTTGACTATCAAATTCCTGCAGATTATAAAACATTGCTCGTTTAGATGAAATCTCATTGGTTACCTTCAAACTGAAGACTTTTTCTTGTGAACCGAAACAACCCTGCCCTTCTCAACCCCACCCCTGCCCTTCTCAACCCCACCCCTGCCCTTCTCAACCCCAACCCCCATATAACAGAAACCCTAAAGCTGTCAGCCGCAGAGATAAATATAAGGGAATAAGATATTAAATATAAATATAGCATTGTGACTTCTCAAAATGCTTCTACAAGGCCTGTTTTGAAATTACAACATTATAACAATAATGTGTATTACTATTAGTCCAAACTATAGCCATTAAGGGATCAACCAGCCCCTCAAATTGACTGATGACAAGACACTCTCAGATAGCGTACACTCATGCTGTTCAATGAACATGTCCATTGATTTCTCGTGTCAGTCAATACATCATTGTCAATAACATACACCTCAACAGGTACATGTATCTTGTTATCCATGAGAACAGCCTCACGATTCCAGATTAGAGCATCTCGCAGGCATATCAATGACATAATCTCATTAGGTACACTGAAAAATCATCGGGTGTGACAAGTGCCACGCCCCTTCCTATGATGACAGATATAATACACCAATACACGTACTGGAGCTTAGGTGTATTCAGGATGATGCAAAGATTTCCTTACCTGCTAAATCAATCTGTATTACGTGCTACAAACCTGAACACATTGAAGCACATGTATTTATGATGGTGCCTCGAAGGCAGAAAATGGCAAGCCCATATAATTTAATCATTCATTAAGACATCATAGTTAATATGCATTGTGTTAAAATATGAAAGAATGAATGTACTTACATCGGAATCAGGGCCATGATCTGCTCCAGGGCATCCAAATGACACAAACTCATGACATCTTTTATGCACCACAAAACTGCAAACTGCAGAGAGACAAATGCATTATCATAACAGAGGCACTTCTGTCTGAGCAGCTGTTTAGCAGCATGCAATCAACACCCTCCTCGACTGTAAACACACAGTCATCAACAGCTAACACATTAACACGTAAATAAACAACAGGTAATGAAATTAACAAGGATACATTTAAGTTGACACATATTATGATGACAACCGTTTCTAGCTCTACACCCAGGCTTGCAACAACTTACTTCAGTTTGCATTGGCAGGTATTTGAAAACGCTGTTGGCATTTAGATGTTAATAATTTTGTTGTTGGCTGTGCAATATGTGTGTAACTTGAAGATGCCTATCTGCTACCTGCAATAGCGATTTGTGCTATATTTAACCGATGGTATTGATTTGTGATTGAGGCAGAAGATCGTGTCAAATATCAAGTGTAATAAGAGACGAACAGAAGATACAGTAAATGTCACGCTGTGATATATCGGCACACTGAATATATGTGCAGGAGAGAGAGAATCGCATTGCAAATTAAAGCAAGTGTGTGTCGCTGCAGCTAGCATCACTACGCGGACAGAACGCTCGTGTTGATTTCAGACAGATAGTCGATGAGAGGAACACTGCTCCTGTCAAACGATATACGACAGATTTTCGCCGAGTGCATAGAGTGATGGGAACATAGGTACTTACTTTGACACTGGAATCCTTGCTTTCCGAACCCCCTAAAAATACAAAATAGAGGTCTTGTTATGCGCATAAGACACACACACGATGAAATGCGAATCTTCTTCAGGAAAAAGAAGTCACCGAAGTGTCGGAACGGCAGAGGCGACGAAAATAGTATGCCGTTTAGGCTAGAATTCTTACCAAATAAAATCCTTGCAATGGCTGCAGAAGGTCGGCTGCTTGAAAAATCTTGCTACAAACTTATGATCCTTAACTTCGTGTACATTTTTCTGTCTCAAAGCACCCCTTCGCTCAAAACGCTGCACGGCTTTCATAGACCCTTCCTTACCGTCCGCCATTTTGCTGAGCGTGAACTGACAGTTTCGTCATCCTCGATTCCGGGCCCTGCCGATACGTATCCTGGTTCCGTGTGAGAGACTTAGTTACTCATATTGCAGGGCAGATGATATTATCCATGTTCGGGAGTTTACAAAGTGAAAGTAGTAGGTAGTTTTGAGCGGAGAAATCTGGGCGACAAGGATGAATTATGCTAATAGGGTGATGTAATTTCGCCAAAGATAGAATTGTCGCGTTTCTCTCTCCTCGAGTAGGTCGAATGACAGTCCGTGCCTTGTAAACAGCAGAGGCATTGCGTGGGGTGTTGAGCGCTTAATGAACTAGATCAAGGAAATTTGCAATATGTTCGTAAATGACGGAAAATCGGAACCAGAAAATAGCACTTTGCTACTTCATGCGATAATGGTATAGTTGATTCTCCGTAATTAAGGGGCAATCTCGACACGGGGAGTCGTGTTGAATCCTCAAATGACTAACAATTTATCTTTTTACAAAATAAATACAAAAATGGCCATTACCATTTTGTTTCACATTCCAACTCATTAACAGATAAGTGTACACTGGTAGATATAAATAAGCTTATACAGACAGATGGGAGTGATAATCAACATTTGGCTGATAGATGTAATTATGCCCCGATGAAAGACAGATTGCAGACAGACTTAAGGTAATATTACCAGATAATCACAAAAGCCAACACAATGTTTAAATACGGAACATCATTGGAACAGGTGGTGGGGTAGCTTATAGTGGTTAAAACGTTCGCCATTTTCGTCAAAGGGCGCGGTTCGATTCCCGATTTTTGAAGGACTTTTCTCGCGGTCCATCGCAGTTGTTGAAGATGAAAAAGGTAACTCACTCACTCATTGGACAGTTAACCAATTAACATTCATTAATAGAACCGTTTAAACCATATTGATACCGGAAAAAAAAAAATACATGAAGGAAGTGCTCGAAATTTTATATCATTCAAATATTTAGAATTCTCTGCATGGATACCTTGACAACATTTTAGTGACATAAGACCCTCTTTTTAACGGGACAAAAAACGTTAAGAGAGGTTTCTCGGATAACAAATAAAGCTTGATTTGGAAGGCGGGCGATTCAGAATTTATTTTCAAAAGTCGAAATTCTTCTTGGATTATGCATGAAGTAAGTGAATGTTATTTCTTGTTGCTATGTTACCATTATATCAGGTTGGCATTATCGATTGTGGTTATGATCAGAAACTAATGACATTAACAACGATCTGCACCCCCCTTGGTGTGTCTACGTACAATGACGTGAGACGAACTGAGCGTCTTTGTAGAATGCAGTCTTTGAACATAAACTGCCGGGTAAAAGAAACTTTACGCCAATGTTTGATGGTGGCTGAACTGAAACAAATGGGAAAAGGTTATTCGATGGTGATGTATTTGATACGGATATCGTAGTTGTGTTTTGGAACTTACGTTTGCAGTGTTCTGCGACTGTTTTCAGCCTGGTAACGTTTTGATAACGTTTGTAATTTTTTGGTCATATCATATTTTCAGACAGACAGTTTATTTAAGCTTTCGAGAACCTTTGAGGCTTGTTTCACAAGTGAACCTTTCACGTATTGTAGTGAGTGAGTGGGTGAGTGAGTGAGTATTGTTTTACGCCGCTTTTAGCAATATTCCAGCAATATCACGGGGGAGGGACACGAGAAATGGGCTTTCACACATTGTACCCATGTCGGGAATCGAACCCGGGTCATCGGCGTGAAGAGCGAACGCTTTAACCACTAGGCTACCCGACCGCCCCTTCACGTATTGTAGAAGGGACAAACGAATGTTAAGGTCACAGCATCAAATATTCTAGCAATAACAGGTTGGCCTGTAAATAATCGAGTCGGGACCAGACAAACCATGCATGCTGTGACTGATGCATGGGAAACCTCCACATCGGGGAGGAGTGAGTGAGTGAGTATGGTTTTACGCCGCTTTTAGCAATATTCCAGCAATATCACAGCGAGGGACACCAGAAATGGGCTTCACACATTGTACCCATGTCGGGAATCGAGCCAGGGTCTTCGGCGTGACGAGCTAACGGTTTAACCACTAGGCTACCCGACCGACCCCATCGGGGAGGAGGGTGACAGACAGCCGAGTCACAGACCAATCGGTCCCTATTTCAGTCGGCTCTTGTGAGATTTGTTTGTTTGTTTGTTTGTTGTTTAACGCCGCACTCAGCAATATTCCAGCTGTATGAGGGTGGGCTGTAAAAAATCGTGTCTGGACCTGACAATCCAGTGAGTGATGCCATGAGCATCGAGCCACGCAATTGGGATGCGATGACATGCATCAACCAAGTCAGAGAGCCTGAACACCCGATCCCGTTAGTCTCCTCTGACGACAAGCATAGTCACCTTTTACGGTAAGCATGGGCTGCTGAAGACCTATTCTAACTCGGATCTGTGAGGATAAAAGAGGCCAACGTCAAATATTTATTGTTAAGAATAAAGAGCAGTATCCAGTTTCACAAAATGATCCCAGCACTAAGACGATTGCAACTCCCATACTTTAACATTGACTTACGACCGTCGTGACGCTAAGATCGCTTTGTGCACGTGAGCCTCTATCTATGATAAACAATGGGAGTTTCTGTTGTGTTCGCTTTCTGGAATGGGTCCACAAACTTCTAGTCGAGTATTAACGGTACATCTATGAAAATAATCAAGTCACTATTTTGAAGCAATTTGCTAGTACTATCAAGCAGTGTTAACGTATTATTGGGAAGCAATATTTCTATTTCCGTGTACCTGTCCAATATCGTGGCACAGTGCAATCAGCACGGGCTCTAGGGACCTGTCATTGTGACCCGGCCACATCGAGGAGGTGCGTGACCAACATTGTCAAGTAGATTAGTTTACGGATCAGTGAACAATGATCGATTTACCGTAAAAGAAAACGTTTTTTTTCGGAGGAAGAACGGTACAAAGGCAAATACACGTGTAATACATTACACGTGAGTAATGTAGATCTTGTGTGTTGTTAAGTGCATGTCACAGAAGGCGTCCATAGCGAGTTAGTGAGGGAATGTTGGTTGACGCTTCATCAGGATTTATAGAGTTGTACTACATCACACGTGAGGTCTTGCAATACAGTCTTGGTTGACAACGGTATACGGATCTATACCGAAACGTCGCCTTTACAGTATTAAAGAAGTTGTTATCCTTAACTTGTGTCTACTTTGTCATCCGTCAACTACTAAGTAATGCCTATCAAACAATTGAAGTCCACCTTCTATCGTCTTTTGGTATGACGCGACCCTCCGCCCTCCCGGCAGACCCTCTATCCACTAGACCACGGAGGCGGTCCTTGAAATATATGAGTGAGTGAGTGAGTTGGGTTAAACGCCGCTTTTAACAGTATTCCAGTTATATCACGGCGTGTCAGCTTAATGTGGGAGGAAAGCCCGAAGTGATGCTGGTCTCAGACGTTTACCACTTCGGTGAAACCCACGAGCACGGGTATGGTGCTGACAAACCAAGAAACATAATCTGGGCGAACCGGGATTCGAACCCACAATCATAGGTTTCTGGCGTGCACAGCGAATCGCAGCGCCTTAGACGACTGGGCCACCCGTGCCCCCTTGAAATATATGAGATACAATAACCGAAGAGCGTGCCCCTATAACATCCAATACGGTTTGTTGCAAGAAGACTCGCAGAGAACTCGTGAACTATAGTGCCTGTATTCCTTGGTATAGTTCTATTACGGAAGAGTGATTTCATTAACGCCATATATTCCATTCCTCGCAACCTTTAACAATCTTTGTCTATATAGCCTGTCAGCACTTCTTGATTTGAGGGCCACATACACCTTGCTTCAAGACAAAGCAACGTCAATATTTCACATACGCTGGACAAAATAAACATAAAACACAATCACAGAAGTATGATATACGTGACTGCAATATTAGATCACCGAGCGGTCTCTGAGAGCATTCCAGTGTTGTTACTTCAACACACACAGTGGCCAGCGAACCTGCAAAAATCGATCCACTTGCGCACTTTTGTCGATACCTACATCAACACAGTTGTTGCATGTGTGAGCAACGTGGCAGAACCCGAGAAACTCATCAAGTTGCGCGCACGTCTTGTGTCGCAGTCGATGGGCATATACGTCAACAAGAGTGCCAAGTGTTAAACAGACAATATTCGCGAAATTATATGGTATTGTTATCACTGGCGTATTAACTCCATTGGGTTTTATTACGAGCTTGTTACAACCGCAATTTGATCTTTAAATGACACGTCATAATAACGGGGCAAGATCATATTTTCGAATCATCTAATATGGATAATTGCACATGCATTAAATTACTGCTCTGTGCAGACTACTGCGTTAAAATATGGGAACTCCAAATATAAGGGTCGAATAAACATTGATTCACCGAGAAGCTTATTAAATGTTAAATTGGACGCAACGAGACGAGACGAGACGCGAGGCGGCGCGGCGCGAAGCAAGGCAAGGCAAGGCAAGGCAAGGCAAGGCAAGAAATGCATATGGATTTGGGAACTTCAACCATGAGTGCCGAGTAAACACTGATTCGTCGAGTATCCGTCTCTACACACCAGAAAGTTGACGCCACGCGAGGGAAGGCAACGTGACAATCAGGAAATAGCCTATGTTTGGACGCTTCCAGTGCTTCGCATGACGTATGAGAGAACGTTATGTTTCGCTGTGCCATTACTGGCGTCATCTGTACGAACGCATAAAGTTGTGGAGCCCGAGTGGTGGAGCGTGTCAGTGAGAGAGTAGTGATTGCTTTACCCCGTGGAGCCAGAGTGGTGGAGCGTGTCAGTGAGTGAGTAGTGATCATGGCTTTGAGCCGTGGAGCCAGATTGGTGGAGCGTGTCAGTGAGGGAGTAGTGATGGCTTTACCCTGTGGAGCCAGATTGGTGGAGCGTGTCAGTGAGAGAGTAGTGATGGCTTTACCCTGTGGAGCCAGAGTGGTGGAGCGTGTCAGTGAGAGAGTAGTGATGGCTTTACTCCGTGGAGCCAGAGTGGTGGAGC